CATTTTTATTATCCCCATTTTAGGAACGATTAAATGGAAGCAGAGAGCAGTTGCAATGAAGCAAATCATGAGAGGCTCTGATAGAGACAGAAGCCTGAAAGCTGGTTGAAACTGCTTTTCTGTGCCAGACTATTTTTACTGCAAGTTTATGCAGCTGTCCCCCACTTAGAGAGTCTTACAAATGAGCCCACTCTGCACTCGATCATTTTTTTGCCACCCCCTGCCCTTTTCAACTCACCTTGCCATGTCTGCCCGCATGCGTACACTTGTGTTTCTTACTAAATGTCCTTCACCACATTCCTACACACCAGAGATGTTCTTGGCTTTCTGTGAACACAATTCTGATTCAGAGATCTCTTTGTTATTCTAGCCCCTATCCCATCTAAGGACAGGATGTAGGATCCCACTAAAGGGTCATAAAAGGTTGAGTAAATATATCAAATCTGTTCATATTTGTAATATTTTCAGAGGAATATATAAGATACTGGCAACAGTGATTGCTCTGGGGAGGGGGACTAAGGACTTTTCATTACACAATCATCTGTATCATTTACCTTTTACCATGTGCCAATGATACCTTGAAACGTTATAAAATCGCATTTAATCTTTACAACAGCTTTATGTAAAACCCCTATTTTACTAAAGGGAAATAAGTATTTGCAGTTACTCATTCAGGTTTATAGAGCTGACAAATGGCCACACAGGGAGCAGAATGCAGATCTTCTGATTCCCAGAACCACAGCCTACGTTGTGTTGACTTTGAGTTTTTTCAGAGGAACCAAATTTATAAGACAGTAGCTTTGGGACTCCTTGTAAGAAACTGAATGAATCCTGTGGAATCCATCACCCGGAGTGCACCAACTCAATGATTCTTCCTCCAGCTGAGGCTCCTTGTTAAAAGCTGTTTACTCACAGCTCCGCTGGATATTGAGCCTCCCTGAAGATCTCCCCTAGGTCCTTCACTGGAACTGCAACAGTCATTCCAAGCCTGGGAAAGGTACCCTCTCCTGGTCTCTTCAGCAAACCACTTTGTCTGAATGGGGGATTTTCAGAGTCAAAGTAAAATATTGGTCAATATCTAACTTTCCTAAGCATACATATTCTTCATTTATTTAACAATTATCTCTGAAGGGTCACTCTGAGCCAAACACTCTTCTTGAGTGTTAGAATTATAGACATGAGCAAGGTCCTTGTCCCCATAAAGCCTCCGTCCTGGTGTGAAGAGACCAGTAATAAATAAGCAAGCAAATAAATGAGGAGGATGCTGGATAATAAGTATCATGAAGAAAATTAAAATCAACTTGTGAAAGAGTGACTCGGTAGCCTTTCTGGTGACATGATATTTACCTAAATGACAAGAACATATGCCCTAGGAACTATTGTATAGTCCAGCTCTCACTCAATTTCCATTCCAGTCTCCTTTCATTTACAACATAAATGGTAATCCCAGCAGTGAGAGCTGTGAGAGATCTAACCATCTTCTTAGTCTCATGCCATCATTTTAAAGAAAAGGAAAGAAGAAGCAAGAGAAGTGAAAACAGCCAGCCCTCGGCTAGTGAGTGCCTGGATGAGTAGCTCCTAACCCAGGTGCTCCTGCAAATCCGGCTTCCCTCCCGGCTAATCTTTCCAGCGTCCAGCAACTCCCTGTAGAACGCTCACCCTGGTGCCTGCCTCCCTGGAGTCACAGACACCAAATCTTCCTGGACCACAGAGTACCTACTGCAACAGTATCAAGGATCTTGAGAATGACCCTAGAGGCCAAAATAATAGTGGAAGAAAAGGTCCAACCTTTTATAGTGCAATTTCCCCTCATCCCATCCATTTGCCAGAGCTGCTTTTGGCTCCTGTGGCTCCTCCCTGCTTATGGGTGACTCTCTAACAGAACTTGAGTTTGGGAGTTGCATGTATCTGTAAACCCCAAAACACTAAACATCTCTCTTCAGAAATGTTCCCTGGTTTTACCAAGTTGATATAAAAATCTTCTATTCTTCTGATTTCTCAACCCCTCTCAAAATGCTTTACAAAATGATTAACCACAGAATTTCTTTAAATAGCAAGTTCCTTCAGTACATTCGAAGTATGATCTATAAAAAGTCAATCTACACAAAGATTTTATTCCCCCCTTCAAAAAAAAAAATGAAAACCCAGCTATTGTATCAAGGGCAATAGCATAAACTTGGACTCTTAATGACAGATTTTGGACTCTCATTATGTAATGAGAGTCATTCAAAATGAATGTAATCATTCATTTTGCAAAAATTTATTGAACTGCTCTATGCCATTCACTCTTCAGGCTGCTGTGAGGATAACACCATAAGACGACGTAGCCTCTGCCCTCTGGAGGCATGCATGCACACAACTCTAACCCAAGGAGGGTGTGACAATGCAGCAACAGAAATGTGGAGTGAGGCTTCAGGGAAAGGGAGGGAGCATTACACTGCAGTCAAAGATCGGGGAAGGAGGGAATGACATTTTAACTGGGCTTTGAAGGATGCTTGTGAGTTGTATAACTGTACAATGCGTTCCAGGAAAAGGAAACATTATGACATGCTGTACAGGGGGCAAGACATACAAGGGCACATTCTCAGAAAAGAAAGGAGTAGGAAATGAGGAGGAAGAGGCAGGCCTTGGAAAGTAGACCAGAGCCAGTGCAAACATGGGTAAAATGTGGACCCAACAAGTAAATCGTAGAAACCTTGAGTGGGTTTGGGGCAGGGAAAGAATACACAGTTGTGTTTTAGGAAGCTCATTCTAGCACCCACATGTGGGGTTGATTTAAACAAAGGTTGGGTCAGGGACAAAGAGGCCTGTTTAAAAAATTATCCCATGGTTCCTGGGTCATATTTAAAGTATGGAATGACCAGGAGAGCTAGGATTGATAAATATCAGAAGGAGGGTCTGAGGGGAAAGGGTTGAGGGCCATGGGCCTCAGATACCAGCCTAAGGAAGAGATGCTGCAGGACTACGGGTGGTGTCTCTTTAAGGACAGTTATGAGATGCCTTCTGCTTGAGACTGTAATAATGAGTCCACTGCATGAAAGCCACTCCAGCTAGACGTCTTCTGAGCCATGTTTGAAGTCTCAGTTATTAATAACTTCTCTTTTGGAGATATACAGAAGTGTCTGTTATACATGAGGAGCCAGAACACTTCTGAAATCATGATGTCTTTACAGCAGCAGCAAGAAGCAGCTTGATTGGGGTGGAGAGCAGGAGTCCAGGGAACAACCATTTCTGAACAAATAATAACTCAGTGGAGGGAGGGTAACTTAATCAAGAGCATCAGGCACAACATAAGCTTTATAACTATGCCTGATGACAGCAACTATTTGATAGACTGAGGTCTCTCAAAACTCTGAGTATCAGGTTCCAGGTTCCAGTACCTGAGCCATACATGTCTTGTTCACAAGTGGGTATTCTATAACTAACCATCCTGGTATCTCTGGAACAAGATTATGAATTTCAGGGAGTTTATCTCTGGTCTTTTTCTGGCTGTTCTTTCTAGAAATGTATAGCTTAGTTCTATAGTTTGAATTGTGAATGTCCTCCAAAGGAGGCTCCCCCACTTGCCTATCAGCTATTGGGAGATGGTGGAACCTTTAGGACCTGGGGTCTAATGGGAGGTTATTAGGTCATTGGGGCAAGGGGATATTGGAACCCGGGCCATTCCTGTCTCTCTCTGCTTCCTGGGCCCCATGAGGTGGGTGAATAGGCCTCCTCCACCACATGCTCCCTACTATGATGCCTCACCACAGGCACAAAGCAACAGGGCCAGGTGACCATGGACTGGAACCTCTGAAACCATAAGCCAAAATAAATCTTTCCTCCCTAGAGGTTGAGTTATCTCAGGTATGTTGTCACAGTGATGGAAAACTGACTAACACACTTGGTTTCCACTGGAAACCATACCGGCATTTTAAAAACCTGTTTCAGCCAATTGGCCCATGGAGTCTATGGAACTTGTCTTTAAGCAGTTTCCTAATGTATTTTCATGGAATATGACTATCACAAACATAGGGGGTCTTGTGGTCAAATAATTCAGGGAAGTGCCATATTAGATAAAATTTAAAACATTTGTTTGCTATTTGAACTTTCAAATGCTAATATGTTCTGAGATGCTCCTGGAGTGGGAAATAATAATTAGGATTTCTCAATCGTATTTATCTGCAGAACCATGTTTTAGCAAAGTGTCTCAAGGGACAAACATCCAATAAAACATACCTGGAGAAAGATCAATGATGACATTACTCTTGGGAACATCTGTGTTTACTTAGGAATCTGAAATAATAACTAAAGCTAAATATTTATTGAGTGATCACTGTGTACCAGGCAGCTTTTCAAGTATTTTATAGGTATTAATATATTTAATCCTCATATCTGTCATATGAGTTCTATGATTATTCCTATTTTATAGTTGAGGAAATTGAGTACAGAATAGTAAAAAGACCTGCCCAAAGTCCTAAACAAATAGGATGGTGAGCAGCAGAGCCAGCCTGATGCCCACAGACATTAATTTCTAATGGTAGAATTTTAAATATTGTGATCAGCTGGCAATGGGAGAGATTCTGAACAGAGCTGTGCATGGTAACTCTTCAATCACAGTAAATCTCTGCATGTTTGCTCATCAACTAGGCTTTATGGGCCTCCTCAGGCACTGTGTAGGACACAACTTCTGAATGGTACCACCCGTTTGGTTTCTTCACCAAATTATGTTATATTATACATATATAACCTTCCATTAAAACAGTCATGATTCATACAGCATTGTAACCACCAGTGATAAACAGAAATGTACAAAGGAAACAATCTTTTGATGACCAAAGAAGCAGGAAAATAAAGATGCAAGTTTTGAGATCTAGTTTCTCCTGTGTTCTCCAAGTTTTGACCTATTGTACCCTGGGTCTAGGGATGAAAACCAAGGGACTTCTTTCCTTTAACGTGTCACAAAATTTTACATCCCTACCCCTCTATTTTGCTCAAGAATTGCCAAAGACATGTCCTACCCTCTCCCACTTCCTCTCCTTGTTCAGAAGGATTATCACCAGTTTCGGGTGCATCTGGTAGCCATCTTCACTGAAGGACAGATTTCTCCCTTCAAAAGTGACATTGATCAGATACCTGAAAAGATAAAATAAAAGTAGGATTAAAAACATGAAAATGGCATCCAAAAGCAAGATAGCCAGGTAGAGGGAGAGAAAGGTGGATGGAGACAGATGCAGAGAGAGAGACAGATAGATATCATCAGAATATACAGATATCATCCGAAAACTTGGTTCTCCTTAACTCCCAGGTGATTATGCAATAGATCATCCAAGTATTCACCTATAGAAATCATATAACAAAACAGTATAATAACTTAAAATAAGGTCACCTGGTTTGAGTTCAGTCTGTAGCTATGACTTGGAGCAAATCATTTAGCATTTGTAACCTCATTTTCTCCCCCTATCTGCAGAAAGTGAGGGTAATAAAAGGCCCACCTTACTTGGTTTGTAAGGCTTAAGTGGGATAGCTAGGTTAAGCACTTACCATGGGGCCTGGTGCAAAATAAAACCTCAGTAAGTGTTAACAATTATTCATAAAAGGAGGTAGAGTAAAGCGGGTGGAGGAGGTAGAGACAAGAAAAGAAAGTGACATAGCTGGACACGGTGGCGCCTATAATTCCAGTGGCTCCAGAGGCTGAGGCAGGAGGATCTTGAGTTTAAAGCCAGCCTCAGCAAAAAGTGAGGCGCTAAGCAATTCAGTGAGATCCTGTCTCTAAATAAAATACAACATAGGGCTGGGGATGTGACTCAGTGGTTGAGTTCCCCAGCATTCAATTGCTTGTACCAAAAAAAAAAAAAAAAAAAAAGGAAGAAAAGAATGTGACAAAATTCTGCTAAGAAAGATGGCATGTGGGAATTTAGGCCCTCTCCCCATTCTCTAGAAAAGCACATACTCTCTAACTCTTACTGAGGACTTGCCCAGTCTATATTTCTCAAAGTTGTGTGATGAGTCCTATTGGCACCACAGAATACATCTGAAAACCAGGGTTTTGTATTATGTGTAATGAACAGAAAATACCTGAGGGTGGGAATAGCAAAGGAGGGCATTTCAGAGTGCACTAGGGACATGAGCACAAATTAGCAGAAATTCTGGAGGTAACTGAAGTCATACCAATGAAACTGTCTTCCTCCTGGACACCTATACCCCAGCCCCTGGGTTCCTTTGCAGCTGACTGTGATCTCAAGCACAGTTTCTTCACTGGAAATTCCCACTAGGTATCCTCAGTACAACTGCATTAATGCAATCAGCCTGATGGTAATTAATGTCCTTTTACTACACTGGCCCAAGGAATCAATAATGATTAGCTCTGTGTTCACATTACTTGCTTCTTGGGCCTGATGCTGCTTATAAGATGGGTCTCTGTTAAGAAGTCAAGGGGGCATCTTACAAGAACAATAGAAGAGGCAGCTTCAAGGTCCGTCTTTTAATGCTTCTCTTTCAATGAAACTGGGAGACTCTTGGAATCTTTCAGGTCACATTACGTTAAATGAAAAGGTCACTAGAATTCATAGCCTTTGACAACCATAAGGATGTCTAGGCAGCATGACCCATACCTTCATGGATCAGTTCTCACTTCTAGAATTTTGGGGGACTTTTTTCAGCCTGTTATTCCCTTGGTCTTGCATTGCTTCACAAATGCAATCAAGAGCACAAAAGATGCCCCCAAAGTAAAGAATCCTAGAACTTTACTACTGAAAGAGATTGTTATAATCAGGTAGCTCACCACATCTTGGAGGGGACACCACCCCTAACAACATCATAAAACCAGTCGTCTTAGCTCTTGATTACTTCCATTCATGGGGAACTTACCTTACCATACCATCCTCCACCCTCAAGCCACCATCTCACAGTTCTATCTTAACTTTAAGTCAAAATCTGCTCCTTTGTAATTTTTTGATACTTTGTTCCTTTTTTAGATATTTTATAGTCTTGTTCTAATCCTTTTTCCAGATGAGAGTTCCTCATGGTATTGGAAGACATTTAGCATGTATCCCTTATAAAATCAATTTTCATTTTTAAAGAAACCCTGAGTTCATTTAAGTTGATAGATTAGGAAACAAGCACATTATTTACCCAATGTTACATTACTAATTGAAAGCAGAAGTTAGCACTTGAAGTAAAGTGTCCTTTCTACCATACTATCCTTATTCTCATATGTAACATTGAGTTTAACATCCACAGTCTCCTTCCATATCTGTCATATGCTCCAATCAGCTAAGTGACACACCTCGGATCCAACTCAGGGCTCCACACAGTATCTTCTCTGTTCCTTGAACTGCTTCTCACCTCTTAGCTCAGCACTACTTCCCCAAGCCCATCACTGGTTTGAAGAAAACAATTAGGTCTCCCATCGTTTGGAACAATCCCAACACCCAACCTAAAGCCCTGTAGAATTCTTTCTAAGGAATACAATTACAAAACCACAAAACAGAGTATTTTAAACTAACAAAGTAGAATTTAAGCACCCAGCATCAGTAACTTGGAAAATAGGTTCTTACCATGACAATATTGGATTACCGAGAATAATTATTAGAAGTCTTCAGAAGAAGATGAAACACACAAAATAGTTTAGTCCCATCTCTTTTTCTGAATGAAGGAAGAAAGGAGAAAGAGAGAGAGAAAGGAGACAAGAAAGAAGCAAAGGAGTAAAATAAATTACTTGGCTTGAGCACCCATTTTTCTACCAGACATGACTCTGACTTTTGACTTTATCTAAAACACCATTAAAAATACTTAAAGAAAATTTCCATTTCAGAGGGCGATTATAAAATAGAAGTCCTAGAAATAATTCAACTAACAATCTGCATGAATGGAATAAGCATATAGCCTCTCAAGATGACTCCTTTGAAGGGGACATCCTTGAATGGGGTATATAAGATGAGAAATTTGAACTTTCCAGAGATGAACCACACTCATGGGCAATGTAACTGGCTTGTAGTTAAATTTCTCTGGTTATTCTTGCTCCAGATCCTCCCAATTTTCTTTAGGAACTGTTTTCCTTTTAGAGTAATCACCCTTTTCCTACTGTGAAAGTTAATTTGATCTACCTAATATCTAAGCACTTCTCAGATATTTCACATTTATCAACAATGTTAATAAAATTTTGACAGTATACAGAATATTCTTCTCCAAAGTATTTTTAATCATTTATATCCTTCAGCAGTATATATATATATATATATATATATATATATATATATATTAATCATTCACATTGTGTTTTTCTAAGTAATTCCCTGTGGTGTGACACCATTTAGCTATTAGTGAGGAGTTTACAAAATATACACCATCCTTGAGCAAGGATCCTCTGTGAGTAGCAGAACAAATTAATCCACTCAGTGAAGTGAAGACTGTGGGGGGAAAAAGGGTGTGTGTGTGTGTGTGTGGTTCCCTTCTAAACATGTGACCTTGGCACCAAACCCTCAGTTATTCCTCTTTAAAATGGAAGACATGGTTTTACCCCCAGTTTCTCAGGGCAGACTGTTGTAATGAACAAATGAAATAGTGGAAAGGAAAATTATATACAATGTTATACAAATATATAACAGGGAGCATTGAAAGAATAGGTGAGCATGATTTAAATACTTAGAACTAAGAAACTTGCTAAATTTTGAAACTCAGTGAATAAAAATAGGAATAAACTACATTTTAACAAGACCAACCTATCAACAGAATACATCTGAGGAATAGAGTTTGGATTGCATATGTGGAGGATAAACTAGATCAAATGGTCATATTAATCAATTTAACTTTCTATAAGACCTGAAAATATTCAACTACCATTGCCTCTTGCAATACTTTATCAATTTTGAATATCAGTTAAAACCTCATAGCTTTTGTATGTAAATCCTGGGTAAAGGATTAAACTATAATTAAGATTAAAGGATCCCATAGACAATCTACTTTTCTAGCAACATGTCACCCTCAAGTACACAGTCTGAAATCCTAGCTTCAAGTGGGAAATTCAAAAGTTTTCCCCATAAGACCCCTGCACACCCTAATAATTTGACATAGTTTAAAAAACTGCTTGATTTGTCTCTAGTATGTAGTTTGACACCTAAGAAATCTGAGGGCTTGTCTCATAAAGTTCCTTTTTTTTTTTTTTTTTTTTTGGTGGTGGACCTGGGGATTGAACCCAGGGCCTTACTCATGTGAGGCACATACTCTACCAGCTAAGCTATATCCCCAGCCCCAGTAAAGTTCTAATACAGAATACAGAATCTCAGATTGCTAGAACTAGTAGAAAAAAATAGAAAGTCTACACTGAACTTCCTTATTGTAGAGAGGAGGTCCCAAGATACTAAATGACTTTTTCCCAAGTGACCTTCCTACTCAGGACTGGAGCTCAAGACTTGATTCTCAGTTCAGGGTCTTTTGTCATGCCATCAACAACTGAAGTGAAATCAGTTTCTCAAAGACTCTGGTGTGCATTCTAGTATTCTCATGTCACATGTCATGGCCTGGACCACAGAGGCCCCTAATGCAGACTGAAGAAAGCAAAATCCTTCTCCTTTCCTGCTTGCCTCCTTGTTGAGAAAGAGCCTCAGAATCCTGATGGGCTCAGAGCCAACACATTTGTTTTATATGGCCAAAGTCACACTCCAATGCGTTTAATGAGGTCGAGCTGAGGTTAACAAGCCCTTGTGCCTCTGCGACTTTGGCCATGTCACGTAGAGCTCATCCGCTGCACCATACTGATGCTTAAGGCAATGATGGAGCAGCATGCCCTGTGTGGGAGGCACTTGAAGACACCCTACCAGAATGTTCTCAGCAAACCAAGAGTCCTGACACTGCAATACATTTCTTCTTTCCATATTTTCACAAAGCATTGATTTTTCTTTAGAAAAAATTAACAGTCATTGGTGTAGTAGTAACGGGAGACATGGCATCTCATCTCATCTAATACTTTTACTTTGGCAGATGATGTCCAGAAAACTTTTGTGGCTTTATCAAGATGGGAAGATAGGACCAGGAACAGGGTCCTGATGTTCTCAACCCTAGGCCATGCATTCACCATCATGCCTTAAAATGATGGCAAATTTCCAGAGCTCTCATTTCAATTCTATAGTCACTGA